CAAAAAAAAAAAAAAAAAAAAAAAAGATTGAGGAAGGCTATAGTTTCCTTGAAGCCATAGGCTCCCCAGTCTATGAGTTAGGGAATAGCTTAACTTTAACCTTCTCCTTAGGGAGTAGCTTTGTGTAAGCCATTTCCTTCTCTTTGAGAGCTTGATGGTTGTACCAAGGGCATTTCCCTATAAAAGGAAATGATGAGTTCACTTGCCTTCTCTTTTTGAAACAACTTTGTAACTCTATGGGACTCTGTGATCAGCCACACATGTCTATAGGCAGATAGTGAGTGGTCCTCAAATTTTTCAGTGAGTTGGGACTTTCCCATAGCAGACTTCCATCTAGGGTTCATACCTTCCTGGGGACTGCCTGTGCCCTCTCCAGGCCATAGGTCATCTTGGGCAATTGTGGCTGATCTAGTACCCATCCTGTTGTAAGGAATGGAAGCATCCCACTTCGTCCTAGGGCTGGACCTGCTCTGCTAGAATTTGGTGTGTTTCACCTCTTCTGCCCTGGAAGATGCTTGGCAGTAGATCCTCTGTGATAGTCTATAGTGGCTGAAGCAGGAGGGGGCTTCTGCACTCCTGGACCTCACTCGGGCTTTCTAGGAGAGTGTTCTCCTGAGGTGGGCCTCAGCTGTGAGCCTCGAGCTTCATACTGCTGGCTGCAGGAGTAGATGGCTAGGGTGGAGGTGGCTTTTCTTCTCAAATCACATTGTCTTGACTGCACACATGCCTCTGATGCTCCCTTGGAGCCCCTTTCTCTGGCATCCAAGGATAGGTCAAGCTTTCGAACCTGACTGGGTGGGCTACAGGTGGACTTATGGCAGTTCTTCTCTCAGGCAGTGCAGTATGACAACCACTACACCAATACCAAGTACTGCTTATGCCAGATGCTGCGAGAACAGTTGGAGTCGCCCCAGGGAAAGTTGCTCCATGCTGCCCAGTCTTCCCAGGAAATTTGGTAAGAGGAGACATGGGCTGTCCATCTGTACTTGCAGACATTGCTCAGGCTTGATCTAGAGCCCTAAATTACTCTTTTAGGGTACCAGGGACACAGCTTCTAGACAGGGGCATAGAGTAATGGTACAGCTTTGTCTTACAGAATGAGACATTTTCAAAGCTTCGGAATGTTTCATCCCTGGACTGATTAACAGTAGAATAATTCTGGGACCTAGGGCACTAGGATGGAAGAATGCAAAGGATGGGCTTGAGATTTCCTTGGGAGGAAGGGGCTTTTGTATTCACAGGCTTTTCACATGACAGGCCACTGAGACTCAATGGTCAGGAGAGTTGGAGGCTATGGAATGGATCCCTGGCCTGAACCTGTGCCCATACCCCATCACTCTGCAGTTTGAGAGGCCAGCCCTTGGTCCTCTAGATCTGGTACAGCTCTGTCTCAGGCAGTTAACACTTAAGGCCCTTCACCACCTGGCCTAGTCTCTATTCCAACAGCTTTCATGCCTCCACCCTGTGGTCATACTGGGTCCTCCGCCTGACAGGCTCTCAGCCTCTCATGTTGGCTATCTATATCTTCCCTCCAAAGAAACCTTTCTGAATCACTTTTGCCATAAGGAATACATCTTCTTTGGAGTGTTCCAGCCCTCAAGGTGCTTCCTAGATGTGAAAAGCCTTCTCAAAATGTTCTTCCAACCCCTGACTTTTGGCATTAGTTCTGTCCCTATCCCACATTGATTCACCTGCTTGACCCAGGTTATCTTATAAACTCATGAGAAAAAGTATAACTCTGTAGCTCTGGATGGTACCCGTGATAACTTGTGCTTTTTCCTCCCATGGGCCCACATAGGATACCTTTACAGGGGTCCTCAAACTTTTTAAACAGGGGGCCAGTTCACTGTCCCTCAGACCGTTGGAGGGCTGGACTGTGGGCCCTGGGATGAGTCAGCTGCTAAGCAGGACAGGCAGCGAAGGCAAAAACACCCGGTGGGCCGGATAAATGTCCTCAGCGGGCTGCATGTGGCCCACGGCTGTAGTTTGAAGACACCTGCCTTATGAGCTTGGTCACTGTAGGTCAACTTAGTCATGGCTGGCTGGGGATACCACCTATGCAGGTGGTGGAGGTGACTTTTAGAATCTTTTTTAACCCAGCCCTGCCTCCCTACAGTGTCCATACTCAGGGTTTCACTTTTCATCTTCTGGTCGCATTGGTGGGCAGTAGGCACTTAGTGATGACCATACCTTAATGGCTTTTGGTGTATGTGGTGGGTCCCTGGGCTCCTTGATGTGTAGTGCCATTGATGATGTTTATAACAACATGCTTGTCCTTCTCCTCCATAGTGAGGCCTTTGGCCTTGGAGCCTTCTATGAAGAGACCACACGGAGGTTGGATGCCCTACGGGCCAGGCTCTTAGCTAGGATGCCAGATGAGGAGGGGGAACCAGCTGAAGATGCCTCTGGTGTCATTAAGATGGCTGTCAGGTTTGACCGGTGGGTCTCCAGCTTAGATTAGCCTCAGCTGGGGCCAGGGCCAGAGTCCTCAGGGTTTGAGAAGGCCTACAAGTTAGCTGCTATATGTGATTTGTCAAGCTTAGAGACCATAGGTCTCCTTGCTTTGAATTTTGCTTTGAATTTTTAGCATCCCAAAGAAAGAACTTTCAGGAAAGATAGTTCCTGAAAGCCCAGACAGCACAGTTGGGGGTGTGTATGTTGTTTCAAAGGTATCTGAATTCTACTTTTTCCCTACCCATTGTCTCCCCTCCCACAACTCAGGGTGGGCAGCCTTATTTCCTTCTGTCCCTGGAAGTCTGCTTTCTCCTGGGCCCTGCAAGGGCAATGGGATCCCAGCCTTCCTTTGGCTGTGCAGCTTCTGCCCACACTCACTGCCTTCACCAGCCCTGGGGTGCCTTCTCTGGGCAGACGTAGCCTCAGGCTGATTATTGCCTCAGATTGTGACTCAGCTTTGAATGGTTCCCTCATTCTTGTCCTCTGCCATCTGGGATCTGAGCCTTTCTCCAGTCCTCAGGCCCAGACCAGGAGCTAATCTTGCAAAGGTTTGGGGGTGAGGGTAGGAGGATAGCTACTGGGTAGTCATATGCCAGGGAGAGCTCCTGGTCGGAAGCAGGAATATGACCCTTCCTCCCCATCCTCTCAAACCAGAGTCAACTGTGTCCATGGCAGCAGCAGGTGATCCTGACACTTGGCACATGTTATCAGGGTGGGCATTGAACTAGATCCCTTAGACTGTAGTCTAGTCCCCTTCATTCCCTACCCTCCCCACCCCTAACTCTACTGATCTTGTCTTGAGAGGCAAATTGTACCTTCCTTCCTGGCTATTGAAGGCTCTTTTCTGGGCTGGACTTCAGAGTGCTGAAGCATCTTCCTTTAGGTAGAACCTGGTCCCAAGCTGCTGGTAGGACAGGAATGGAGCCAAGAATAGTATGTACAAGGGCCTTAAGGTAGCAGCTGAGCGACTTAATTCTTCCTGGAGCTCCTATCAGAAATTGTATAGGATCCTTGCTGTGGGGAGTGATGTTGGCAGATGGTCATTGACTGCTTCTCCTACTTTCCCCAGGAGAGCATATACACCCCAGATCACCCCTAAGATGTGCCTGCTGGAGTGGTGTCGGAAGGAGAAGTTGGCACAGCCTGTGTATGAAACGGTGAGTTCTGGCTGTGGCCTGCCCTGCAGCCAGCCACAGTGCTCCCATGGCTGGTAGTATCACTCTAGCACATCTACAGCTTACACTCTCAACTCCTGACCTCTCGGTGGGAGCCTGGCCTTGCCCTCCATAGGCATGTAGAGTTTGTTGGTGGCCAGTTCAGTTGCTGACAGTCTCCCTCTGACAGTGGCCTGTTGTTCAATTCTGGCAGACATGTCTGTGGATCAGGTCTCAGTCAACAGGGCAGAGAATTGGGCCCCAGACATAGGCCCTAGTCCGGAAACTGAGATTGTTTTGCTTCATTTCCTTTAGTCTCCATAGCCATGCCTTGCTTAGGCTGCTCTGCCTCTTCTAGACTGGTCTTCTGGCCTCCAGGCTTTTGCCTTCTGGTCTTTGTGTCTGTCCTCTGCAGAGTGACTTTTCCAAAATAAACCTAACCTCTGTCTCTCTTACTGAAGTTATGAGCTCCCCAGTGCCTTTGGGATTAAGCCTCAGCACCTCATCTTAGAGCACGAGACCCCCACATGCCTTGCTACTTCAGGTCTCATCCACTCAGCCCCGTCACATCACCTGGTCCCTCTGCCAGGGGGACCTTTTCTGCTGCTGTCCTTGTCCTCTGTCACCCCTTTGCCATCTGGTGAACTCCTCAGTTTGGGGACCTGGCCTATCCAGATGTCAGAAAGAGGAGGCACCATAATCACATGCAGCTAAGGGCTCACTGGCCTTTTCCTTAGGTTCATGACAGAGCTCCAGACATATTTGATATCATTGTCTGTGTATTTGCCTTTTTTCTCTGGAAGACACACTAGGTATTTTTGCTTGGGAGGAGCATGTAATGATACAGGTAGCCTTGATTTGGCTTAGGGTGGAAATGCCAACCTATTATTTATTTGCCTTTGATTTGACCCCAGCAGGAAGGCTCATTTCTCTGGCTCCTGAGTATAATCATCCCTATTTCCTTTGCTCTCTCTGTACCAGGTTCAACGCCCTTTAGATCGCCTATTCTGCTCTGTTGTCACTGTTGCTAAGCAAAAGTACCAGTCCACCTTGTGGTAAGTTTCTTCATCAGAAGGCATAAGGCATGATGTGGGGATGTGAATCCAGCATTGACCTAGGAGGGCTGGACAGTTGGTGTGCATGGGCAGTGGTGTCCCTGGACGATAACCCCTTACTCAGTTTTGTCAGAATTTCTGCCAAGAGTATATATATAGAGTGAGGCCTCCCAAACTCTAGTCCTACAGTCTGCCCACCTGCCTCATTGCCCTCTGCTTCATTTGCCCAGGGACAAGTCCAAGAAACTGGCGGAGCAGGCTGCAGCTATCGTCTGTCTGCGGAGTCAGGGTCTCCCTGAGGGTCGGCTGGGTGAGGAGAGCCCCTCCTTGCTCAAGCGCAAGAGGGAGGCCCCTGACCAAGACCCCGGGAGCCCTAGAGCTCAGGAGCCAGCACTGTCTGGGGAGCTGTGCAAGAAGCCTTTTGTGGCCTTGACAAGTGGTGAAGAGACCCCCCTGGAAAGCCGGTGACTACTGTGCCTGGCCTAAGTTCCCCTCCATGGGCCTGGCCCTGAGGTGGTTATGGGTGCCAGATCATGAATGAGGACAATGACACACCTTCACCCATGGCTGGCTCAATGACATACTTCTCATCTTCACCCATGGCTGGCTGTTTCAGCCCTGGACAACTCAGGACAATTTGCTGGACCGCCTGTCAGGAGTTAGAGGTCCTGCTTTGGGCTATCAGCCTGGAACACGGACCGGGGGGTACCCATCTCCTGTGG